ATATTAGGACAATTTTGAGTCGATTTAACCAAGGATGACGAGGGATGAACAAAGATGTAGAGCGCTGCAGAGAATTCTTCTGCAGGGTGAAATCGAAAAAATCAACATACAGCTAGTACAACGGAGAACAGAGAGTGTTACCAGTGTAATTTGTTACCAGTTTCCAACGTTGACATCATGGTATAGTGGTAAACACCGAGGCCATCATGAGCGAAAGTTATGGACCATTCCCAGGTAAAAGTCTCGTAACTTTTCTTACAATTTTTTCTTTATTTTTTTTTCCATTATTTTTCCAAAAACTCTCTAAATCGCACCTCCTAACAGCTGAATATTCATTTTAGATAATTTTTTGTATATTCGGACAATTTTGAATCGATTTAAGCAAGGATGACGAGGGATGAACAAGGATGTAGCATTTCTCATTTGGATACGGCTTGTACTCTGAAAATCATCTCAAAATACGCTTTAAAATTCTCCTGTGCCAAAACGATCTGCATCAATATGCGTTTTGAAACTTTCTCAGTCGATCTGTAGCAAAAAATTTTGTTTTATTTTGCCCGAAATGAAAGACGGCTTAGCACGGCTTAGTATTTCTCATTTGCATGCGCCTTTTACTCAGAAAAGCATCTCAAAATGCGCTTTAAAATTCTCCTGTGCCAAAACGTTCGGCATCAATATGTGTTTTGAACCTTTCTTTATCGATCTATAACGAAAAATTTTTTTGGATTTGCTTGCAATTTTCTAAGTCAAACTTTGGTCGAAATTTTCTAAGACAACACGGCTAAGAATTCATTTGCATACGGCTTGTACTCTGAAAATCATCTCAAAATGCGCTTTAAAATTCTCCTGTGCCAAAACGTTCTGCATCAATATGCGTTTTGAACCTTTCTCAGTGGATCTATAACAAAAATTTTTTTTTCATTTTGCCCAAAATGAAAGACGGCTTAGCACGGCTTAGCACGGCTTGGCATGGCTTAGCGTTTCTCATTTGCATGCGCCTTGTACTCAGAAAATCATCTCAAAATACGCTTTAAAATTCTCCTGTGCCAAAACGTTCGGCATCAATATGTGTTTTGAACCTTTCTTTATCGATCTATAACGAAAAATTTTTTTCGATTTGCTCGAAATTTTCTAACGCAAACTTTGGTCGAAATTTTCTAAGACAACACGGCTAAGAATTCATTTGCATATGGCTTGTACTCTGAAAATCATCTCAAAATGCGCTTTAAAATTCTCCTGTGCCAAAACGTTCTGCATCAATATGCGTTTTGAACCTTTCTCAGTGGATCTATAACAAAATTTTTTTTTTCATTTTGCCTGAAATGAAAGACGGCTTAGCACGGCTTAGCACGGCTTAGCATTTCTCATTTGCATGCGCCTTGTACTCAGAAAATCATCTCAAAATACGCTTTAAAATTCTCCTGTGCCAAAACGTTCGACATCAATATGTGTTTTGAACCTTTCTTTATCGATCTATAACGAAAAATTTTTTTCGATTTGCTCGAAATTTTCTAAGTCAAACTTTGGTCCAAATTTTCTAAGCCAACACGGCTAAGAATTCATTTGCATACGGCTTGTACTCTGAAAATCATCTCAAAATGCGCTTTAAAATTCTCCTCTGCCAAGACGTTCTGCATCAATATGCGTTTTGAACCTTTCTCGGTGGATCTATAACAAAATTTTTTTTTCATTTTGCCCGAAATGAAAGACGGCTTAGCACGGCTTAGCACGGCTTAGCATTTCTCATTTGCATGCGCCTTGTACTCAGAAAATCATCTCAAAATACGCTTTAAATTCTCCTGGGGCAGAACGTTCTGCATCAATATGTGTTTTGAACCTTTCTTAATCGATCTATAGCAAAAAAAATTGTCGATTTGAATACATGGTGCGCGGAAATACCAGATTTATTTCGAGTGTTGAATATGATATCTCACGAGTGAGCTGGCGCAGCGAACGAGTGAGTTATCATGTTCAACACGCGAAATAAATCTGGTATTTCCAAGCACCCATGTATTTTTCTGTTTATTATGTAAAGAACAGTCTTTGAAAAGCGATAATTTTTACAGAAAAGCGATAATTGAAAAGCGATATAAAAGTCTCGTAAATTTTGGTCTAATTATTCTTTATTTCCTTTTGCCATATTTTTTCCAAAAGTTCCCAAATGTCACCTCATAACAGCTTAATACTCATATTTTGATAATCTTTTGTATATTTAGACAATTTTGAGTCGATTTAACTGAACAACACGATCAAGAGAATTCTTATGCAGGGTGAAATTGATAAAACACTATTTACGGTATAGCAATAAACACAATATTGAAGTATAACGTAATTTGTTACCTGTTTCCATCGTTGACATTATGGTATTGTGGTAAACACCGAGGTCATCAACTCATCATGAGCGAAAGTTGTTGACCATTCCCAGGTAAATTCCGGTAACTTTTAAAAAAGTCGCCAAATCGCTCCTCATAACAGCTTAATACTCATATTTTGATAATCTTTTGTATATTTAGACAATTTTGAGTCGATTTAACTGAACAACCCGATCAAGAGAATTCTTGTATGCGGGGTGAAATCGAAAAACACTATCTACAGTACAGGAATAAACACAATATTGAAGTAATGTAATTTGTAACCTCTTTTCATCGTTGACATCATGGTATAGTGGTAAACACCGAGGCCATCATGGGCAAAAGTTGTGGACCATTCCGAGGTAAAAGTCATGTAACTTTTCGTATAGTTTTTTCTTTATTTTTTTTCCCATTATTTTTCCCAAAAGTCTTCAGATCGTTCCTCATAACAGCTTAATACTCATATTTTGATAATATTTTGTATATTTAGACAATTTTGATTCGATTTTACCAACGATGACGAGGGCATGAACAACGATGTATAGCGATGAAGAGAATCTTATGTAGGGTGAAATCCAAAAAATCTACATGCTGCTAGTACAACGGAAAATAGAATTATTGAAATATTGGCTATTGTAATTTGTTACCCGTTTCATCGTTGACATCGTGGTATTGTGGTAACACCGAGGCCATCATGAGCGACAGTTGTGGATCATTCCCAGGTAAATTCCCGTAACTTTTCGTATAATTTTTTCTTCATTTCTTTTTGTCTTTATTTTTTCAAAAAGTCGCCAAATCGCTCCTCATAACTGTTAATACTCATATTTTGATCATCTTTTGTATATTTAGACAATTTTGAGTCGATTTAACTGAACAACCCGATCAAGACAATTCTTATGCGGGGTGAAATCGAAAAACACTATCTACAGTACAGGAATAAACACAATATTGAAGTAATGTAATTTGTAACCTGTTTCCATCGTTGACATCATGGCATAATGGTAAACACCGAGGCCATCATGGGCAAAAGTTGTGGACCATTCCCAGGTAAAAGTCATGTAACTTTTCGTATTATTTTTTCTTTATTTTTTTTCCCATTATTTTTTCCAAAAGTCTTCAAATCGTTCCTCATAACAGCTTAATACTCATATTTTGATAATATTTTGTATATTTAGACAATTTTGATTCGATTTTACCAACGATGACGAGGGCAAGAACAACGATGTATAGCGATGAAGAGAATCTCATGTAGGGTGAAATCCAAAAAATCTACATACAGCTAGTACAACGGGAAATAGAATATTTATGTATTGACTATTGTATTTTTTTACCTATTTCATCGTTGACATCATGGTATAGTGGTAAACACCGTGGCCATCATGAGCGAAAGTTGTGGAGCATTCCCAGCTAAAAGTCTCATAACCTTTCGTATAATATTTTCTTTATTTGTTTTTGCCGTTATTTCAGTCTCCAAGTCGCTCTTCATAACAGCTTAATACTCATATTTTGATAATACTTTGCATATTTAGACAATTTTGAATCGATTTAACTGAACGACGCGATGTAGAGAATTCATATGCGGGGTGAATATACTATCTACAGTACAGCAATAAACACAATATTGAAGTGCTGTAATTTGTTACCTGTTTCATCGTTGACATCATGGTATAGTGGTAAACATCGTGGCCATCATGCATGGGCGAAAGTTGTGGACCATTCCCAGGTAAAAGTCTCGTAACTTTTCGTATTGGTTTTTTTGTTAACTTTTTTCGCCATTATTTTTTCCAAAAGTCTTCAAATCGCTCCGCATAACGGTTTAATACTCATATTTTGATAATATTTTGTATATTTGGACAATTTTGAGTCGATTTGACCAACGATGACGAGGGCATGAACCACGATGTATAACGATGAAGAGGATCTTATGTAGGGTGAAATACAAAAAATCTACATACAGCTAGTACAACGGGAAATAGAATATTATTGTATTTTTTTACCTAGTTCATCGTTGACATCATGGTATAGTGGTAAACACCGTGGCCATCATGAGCGAAAGTTGTGGAGCATTCCCAGCCAAAAGTCTCGTAACTTTTCGTATATTTTTTTCTTTATTTCTTTTTGCCATTATTTTTTCCCGAAAGTCTTCAAATCGCTCCTCATAACAACTTAATACTCATATCTTGATAATATTTTGTATATTTAGACAATTTTGAATCGATTTAACTGAAGGACGGGATGTAGAGAATTCTTATTCGGGTGAATCGAAATATACTATCTACAGTACAGCAATAAATACAGTATTGAAGTGTGGTAATTTGTTACCGGTTTCATCGTTGACATAATGACATCACGGTATAGTAGTAAACATCGTGGCCATCATGGGCCAAAGTTGTGGACCATTCCCAGGTAAAAGTCTCGTAACTTGTTAGTCTTGTTTTTTTTTTACTGTTTTTGCCATTATTTTTTCCAAAAGTCTCCAAATTATATTTTGCTAATACATTGTATAGTAAATACGTGATTCTTATAAGCACACTAAACGAAGCATATATAATCGTGCGTTTGACACTCCAAAATATACCCGGGATTCTCATAAGCACGCTAAAAGTTGATATTATGCTCTGTTCTATTGAAATTCAGAAACGGCAAGAACTTGAATTTACCACGGTCTGTAAATTGTATTGTTGGAATCTACGGTGAATAGGCTTTCTGTCGATGCCTCAGTCATTCTTGCATAACAAGGGAGTCCGTCTGCATCGAAAAAGACATGAAAGAAGTGTATATGAGCGCGCTCATGAGACACCAAAATACGGTATTTTCATAAGCACGCTAAAAGTTAATATTATGCTCTTTCGAATCTGATGTTCTATTGAATTTCAAGGCCCCTTGTAGCAAAAATCTGAATTTGCGCCCATCTGAAAATTGTATTTTTAGAATCTACGTTTAATAGGCTTTTTGACGATGCCTAATTCTTGCATAACAAGACAGTCCGTAATCGAAAAAGACGTGAAACAAGCATGTATGCATGAGCGTGCTCATGAGCCACCAAAATACGAGATTCTCATAAACACGCTTAAACAAGCATATATATGTATATATGATCGTGTTTATGAGACGCAATGCATACAAGTCATACTTACTAACTTGACTTGTACTTACTTGACTTGTTTGCTAACTATAATTTGACTGACTAGCTAACTCGAAGACTTACTTACTAACTAACTTGACTTACTAACATAAAAAATATAACCATTTCACCAAGAGTCCTCATGGTCTAGTGCATGGTACCAAGAATTATTTCAGGACCGGTGTGGGAGTTTTTGACTTACTTATTGGATAGCTTAAGATCTACGACGTCGACGTCAGCTATGACGTCAGGGCCAAGCGGAGGACTGGGACTAGGACGTCGTCCTAAATAAATAAATAAACTTCCACTTAAGATTCACGACGTAGACATTTAAACTATAAATATTTACATCCTTTTGAAAATGAGTTAAAAAAGACGTGCGAACTATTACCGTTTGTTATGCTCTTTGTTATACCGTTTGTTATGCTCTTCGTTACTATCTCCGTCTGTTATGCTCCAACATGCAGTGACCGAAATTGAAGAGTTGTCCGAGTCAAACCTTTTCAGATTGAATGAAAACAAATGCAAAGAATTGCGGATAGGCTTTGCGAAAAATAGAAATCCCTTTCCTCCTATTAAAATTAATGGTAAACCCTTACAAGTGGTGGAAGAAGCAAAATTACTGGGTTTTACTATCGCGAACAATTTGAAGTGGAATAGTCATGTCAATAACATAGTTCCAAAAAGTTCCAAAAGGATTTACCTTTTAGTGCGGCTGAAACGAGCAAAAGTCGCGATTCAAGATGTTTTACAATTCTATACCGTATATACGTATACTGTCTGAAAGTTTATATGTCAAAATGTGCTTCAAAATTCTCCTGAGCCAAAACTTTCTCCATCATTATACGTTTTGAACATTTCTAAGTTGGTCCATGACGAAAAAACTTTTTCGATCAGCTCGAAATTTTCTAAGTCTCAAACTTTAGTTGACTCAAGATTGATCTCACGGGTAACGGGTAAGCGTAATAGAATTCATAATGATCGGACGGGTAAGGATTCATTTGCATATACCTATACTGTCTGAAAGTTTATATGTCAAAATGTGCTTTAAAATTCTCCTGAGCCAAAACTTTCTCCATCATTATGCGTTTTGAACAGTTCTAAGTCGGTCCATGACGAAAAAACTTTTTCGATCAGCTCGAAATTTTCTAAGTCTCAAACTTTAGTTCACTCAAGATTGATCTCACGGGTAACGGGTAAGCGTAATAGAATTCATAATGATCGGACGGGTAAGGATTCATTTGCATATACGTATACTGTCTAAAAGTTTATATGTCAAAACGTGCTTGAAAATTTTCCTGAGCCAAAACTTTCTTCATCATTATGCCTTTGAACATTTCTAAGTTGGTCCATGACGAAAAAACTTTTTCGATCAGCTCGAAATTTTCTAAGTCTCAAATTTTAGTTGACTCAAGATTGATCTCACGGGTAACGGGTAAGCGTAATAGAATTCATAATGTCGGACGGGTAAGGATTCATTTGCATATACGTATACTGTCTGAAAGTTTATATGTCAAAATGTGCTTTAAAATTCTCCTGAGCCAAAACTTTCTCCGTCGTTATGCGTTTTGAGCATTTCTAAGTCGGTCCATGACGAAAAAACTTTTTCGATCAGCTCGAAATTTTCTAAGTCTCAAATTTTAGTTGACTCAAGATTGATCTCACGGGTAACGGGTAAGCGTAATAGAATTCATAATGATCGGACGGGTAAGGATTCATTTGCATATACGTATACTGTCTGAAAGTTTATATGTCAAGATGTGCTTGAAAATTCTCCTGAGCCAAATCTTTCTGCATCATTATGCGTTTTGAACATTTCTAAGTCGGTCCATGACGAAAAAACTTTTTCGATAAGCTCGAAATTTTCTAAGTCTCAAACTTTAGCTGACTCAAGATTGATCCCACGGGTAACGGGTAAGCGTAATTGTATTTATAATGAACGGACGGGTACGGATTCATTTGCATATACGTATACTGTCTAAAAGTTTATATGTCAAAATGGGCTTTAAAATTCTCCCGAGCCAAAACTTTCTCCATCATTATGCGTTTTGAACATTTCTAAGTCGGTCCATGACGAAAAAACTTTTTCGATCAGCTCGAAATTTTCTAATTCTCAAACTTTAGTTGATTCAAGATTGATCTCACGGGTAACGGGTAAGCGTAATAGAATTCATAATGATCGGACGGGTAAGGATTTATTTGCATATACGTGTATACTGTCTGAAAGTTTATATGTCAAAATGTGCTTTAAAATTGTCCTGAGCCAAAACTTTCTCTATAATTATGCGTTTTGAACATTTCTAAGTCGGTCCATGACGAAAAAATTTATTCGATCAGCTCAAAATTTTCTAAGTCTCAAACTTTAGTTCACTCAAGATTTATCCCACGGGTAACGGGTAAGCGTAATAGAATTCATAATGATCGGACGGGTAAGGATTGATTTGCATATACGTATACTGTCTGACAGTTTATATGTCAAAATGTGCTTTAAAATTCTCCTGAGCGAAAACTTTCTCCATCATTATGCGTTTTGAGCATTTCTAAGTCTGTCCATGACGAAAAAACTTTTTCGATCAGCTCGAAATTTTCTAAGTCTCAAACTTTAGTTGACTCAAGATTGATCCCACGGGTAACGGGTAAGCGTAATAGAATTCATAATGATAGGACGGGTAAGGATTCATTTGCATGTACGTATACTGTCTAAAAGTTTATATGTTAAAACGTGCTTCAAAATTTTCCTGAGCCAAAACTTCCTTTATCATTATGCCTTTTGAACATTTCTAAGTCCGTCCATGACGAAAAAATTTATTCGATCAGCTCGAAAATTTCTAAGTCTCAAACTTTAGTTGACTCAAGATTGATCCCACGGGTAACGGGTAAGCGTAATAGAATTCATAATGATTGGACGGGTAAGGATTCATTTGCATATAGGTATACTGTCTGAAAGTTTTTATGTCAAAAGGTGCTTCAAAATTCCCCTGAGCCAAAACTTTCTCCATCGTTATGCGTTTTGAACATTTCTAAGTCGGTCCATGACGAAAAAACTTTTTCGGTCAGCTCGAAAATTTCTAAGTCTCAAACTTTAGTTGACTCAAGATTGATCTCACGGGTAACGGGTAAGCGTAATAGAATTCATAATGATCGGACGGGTAAGGATCATTTGCATATACGTATATACTGTCTGAAAGTTTATATGTCAAAATGTTTATATGTTATACACTGTCTATATTATAAATGTAGTTTTTTTATAAGAATGCTTTTGCATGAGTATTGTGTTATTTCGTTACCCGCATACCCAATGCGCACGCGCTGGGTTATTGCGTCCCACAAGCCTTCCATCAACGGGGTCGCAACTGTATATACACGGAACCCGTACCATGTAGTAATGTGTGGAAGGCGATATATTCCAGAATCTTGCGAAAAGGGTGTCGGCACATAATGGTTTAGGGGCCGCCAGCACTCTCCCTCGTAGTTCGTTAAGATACCGTATGGTATATATCACCATGTCTCAAGCAGTGTGGATTATAACGGTCGGCAATCGGCTATTTGCCGA